CAGTGTTTGTCATTTCATTAGGGTGAACTGATGACAACAGTGTGACATCTTGTTTGTCATGCCACCGAAATGCCATGATGTCATTGTCAGCAAACGCCTGCACTTCACCTCTACTTCACCGGTGGCCTGGTGGCTAAAGCTCCCGCTTCACACACGGAGGGCCCGGGTTCGATTCCCGGCGGGTGGAAACATTTCGACACGTTTCCTTACACCTGTTGTCCTGTTTACCTAGCAGCAAATAGGTACCTGGGTGTTAGTCGACTGGTGTGGGTCGCATCCTGGGGGACAAGATTAAGGACCCCAATGGAAATAAGTTAGACAGTCCTCGATGACGCACTGACTTTCTTGGGTTATCCTGGGTGGCTAACCCTCCGGGATTAAAAATCCGAACGAAATCTTACGAGTGCCAGCATCAAACCTGGACATATGTTTGCGATTTGCATGCACTGTGCCTCACACATCTGTCATGTTCACTTGCAAGTAATCACTGAGTGAGGGGCTTGTGTACCAGTTATCAGTATATAATATATGCCCCTTACCAAGGTATGGTTCTATCATTGTTCTAACCACATCACCAGAGATGCCCAATAACTTCCTGGTATTTTGCAATGTATAACTTCCAGTGTACACAATAATATCCAATACCAGACCACTGTAATAATCACAAATCACAAACAACTTTATACCAAAGTGTTTCCTTTTGCTTGGTATGTACTGCTTGAAAGAGAGTCTTCCTTTGAACAGAATCCCCTCAAGGAAGGTTCCTTGATGTTGGTGAGGGGCTCTTGATTTAGGGAATTGGATCTGTGCTCCAGTTCCCCGAATTAAGCCTGAATGCCTTCCACATTCCCCCCCCCAGGCGCTGTATAATCCTCCGGGTTTAGCGCTTCCCCTTGATTAACATAACATAATTTGAACAGAATGAAAGACTCATCAATTACAAGCTTCCTGAAGGGATAAAAATACATACTGAATTTCTCTTTCAGATACACAAACACATTCCTAATCTTATATAACCAGTATGATTTCACACTGTGCTTATACACATGTGGCATAAACATTATTGTGGCAAAGAAAAGATGCATCTCAACCACAGTTGTCTCCTTCCACTTGTGTAGCCGTGAGCTTGGTGAAAGTATTGTGTTTGCCATGGTGTACTCGTAGTATCTGTTGCTTTTCCTGACAATAATTTCCATCGGGAGTTCGTCAAAGAATAACTCGAAACATTCCAGTTCAGTGGCATTGTTCCCTAGTGTACAATATGGCAAACAAATAACCCGCACATAGAAGAGACGAGCTTACAACGACGTTTCGGTCCAACTTGCACCATTTACAAAGTCACACTAACCAGAAGTGGAGCAGGATGGCTATATATAGGTAGGAAGAGGTGGCGGCGGCGGCGGCGGCAGCGGCAGCGGCAGCAGCAGCAGCAGCAGCGGCAGCGGCAGCGGCAGCAGCAGCAGCAGCAGCAGCAGCACCAGCAGCAGTAGTAGTAGTAGTAGTAGTAGTAGTAGTTATGGTAGTGGTAGTAGTGGGGAATTAAGGAGGAGCCAGTCAAATACAAAGAAAGGGGAGCACTGCAAGGAAGCTAGGTGCCCACAGAGGGAGAGCAAGTGCACAGAGGTGGGGGGAAGGGGAAGTGATGCAATAAATAAATAATGAAGGAACAGAAACATGTGACAGAAGAAAGAAAGACAAAAAAAGGAAAGAGGAAAGGGGAAGAGGGAGAAGAAGAAAAAATGAGGAATCAGGTTAAGTCATGGTTGTTCTGAAGTATGATCCTCAGTTCCTTCCAGCAGAAATTTCCACTCTTTCATAATTTGTTTTCCCGTCTTGGCTACCCTTCCCATTTCATAGACTCTGCCTTCTCACGTGCTAAACATAATTTCTTCTCTCCCAAACTCTCTACTCCTGGGAACTCTTCTGTCCTCTGCCTTCCCTACATTTCCGGTCTTTCTAATCTCAACAATTCTCTCCGTCCCTTAGACATCAAGCTTACTTTCCGCCAGACTAACACTCTTCGCACTAATCTCGTTCATACCTCTCCTCCCTCTACAGATGTTCCTGGTGTCTACTCTATTTCTTGCTCTGCCTGTCCTCTTCAATACTTTGGAGAAACTGGCCGATCTCTTTCTGACAGACTTAGGGAGCACAAAAATAGTGTTAGGCTTGCCGACACTAACAATGCTCTTTTCTGTCACGTCAGAGATCACAGTCATCCTATTGACTGGTCTTCCGCTAAAACTGTCTTCCCTACTTCCAACTCTAACAGTCGCCATCTAGTTGAGTCCTCTCTAATAAACAACTTTCCTTGTATGAATCTTAGTCCTGGCTTCGTCTCTGTAGATGCCTTCCTCTCCCACTACATTGCAAATGTTCTAAACTTCAGAACACCCGTGACTTAACCTGATTCCTCATTTTTTCTTCGTCTCCCTCTTCCCCTTTCTTTGTCTTTCTTTCTTCTGTTGCATGTTTCTGTTTCTTCATTATTTATTTATTTCATCACTTCCCCTTCCCCCCACCTCTGTGCACTTGCTCTCCCTCTGTGGGCACCTAGCTGCCTTTCAGTGCTCCCTTTCTTTGTATTTGACTGGCTCCTCCTCCTTAATTCCCCACTACTACCACTACCACAACTACTACTACCACTACCACTACCACTACTACTACTACCACCACTACCTCTTCCTACCTATATAGTATAGCCGTCCTGCTCCACTTCTGGTTAGTGTGACTTTGTAAATGGTCCAAGTTGGACCGAAACTTCATCGTAAGCTCCTCTCTTCTATGTGCGGGTTATTTGTGTATCATTTCAGTCACGGTATTGTGCCTTTTTTTGTTATTTATGTACAACATGGCCATATTCTACTTTGGCTTTCATCAAACTGGTGGGGATTTGGAACAAAATTGACAGCTTCCTGCCAATCCCAGGTGCGGTCTGCTGGTGGGTACTGGACATTGACAGGTAGTTGTGGTTGTGGAGGTTGTGGTTGTGGAGGTTGTGGTTGTGGAGGCTGGTGTGGTGGGTGGGTGGGGGATGGTGGCCTTTGTTGTAGATCAGCTGAGGCAGCTGTGTGGGTGGCAGCGTGGGTGGCAGCATGGCCCACTGCTGGTGCCTCATGGCCGGCACCACCACTACCACCACCATGCACATTTTCCATCCCAATTGCAACACTATCATCGTCATTTTCACTGTCTGTTCCTGTTGTACAGCCACGGGATGTACTCCGAGATGTACTCCTTCCCCTTGGAATAGCATATGGCACACTTCCAGAGCGCATATATCGTCGTATATACTGACACTTCACTGGAGAATATACCACTTCACTATCACTACTGGAACTGGTTTTAAGAGCTTGTAGTTCATATTCACTGTCACTATCATCACCAATGCTCACATCTGAGTCTGGGATTTGGGAAAATAGAAGTTTCCTCTTAGATTCTGGTACAACTGAACGTGAACAAGATGGCCCAGCAGCAGAGGTGGAAGGCTGAGGGTCGTCTGGGTTTTCCTCACTATTACCGATATTATGGTCATTAGTTTCGGTCACAGCCTCACCAAAACCTTGAAACTCATCTTCACTGGCACTTCCATCTGTATTAGAACTGTCACTGGGGACTAAAAGTGTCCCAATTCACCGAGGAGTGAGGAGCTTCTTACCGCGAGGCATGGTGAGCAAGGTCTACTAAAATGGCGTTCCCACAATGCGCCACTGGGTCCCAGATTTTTTTTCTACCACGCACACTGACCACACACACCCATTCTCTCACATCTAGGCCTACCAGCCTTTTCCCGTGAGATTTGAAGGCGCTAGAATTTATGCGTACTAGTACATCAAAAACCCTGGCACACAAGCCGTACTAGTATGGCCGAAACCCTGAAAGGGTTAATCACTTCAGGTCACATGCTCATGGTGTCGCTGTTTATACAGATGGTTCTAAATCTTCTGACGGTGTTGGGTTCCCAGAGGTGTTCCCTGACGATGTTGTCCAAGGTCATTTGGTAGACTTGGCTAGTATTTTTACCGCCAAGTTGTATGCCATTGGGATAAAAGGCACTTCTCCATATTACATATTTCTCCTTTGACGTTTGTAATCATTTTAGATTCCCTCAGTGCTTTACAAGCCATTAAACAGTTGTTGTTACGGTGCATGTCGACCACTGTTGTTGCCATTGGCAACAACGGTGGTCGACATGCACCATAACATATTGCGCTCTATTAAACCGCTTTTACTTTTGTAGCCATCTTACCACCGTTACCATACTCAGGAGACTGTGCTCTCCTGTCTCTGTGTTGGACATAGTTGCCTGACCCATGGGTATCTCATGGAACGACACCCTATTCCTCACTGTGAGGTTTGTCAAGTCCCTGTTTCGGTTCTTCACTTTCTTGTGGATTGCCCGGTTTACCAGTGAGTTCACAGAATTTACCTCCAATGGCGTTGCTGCCCTACCACTCTTACCTTATCTTCCCTTCTTGCAGACGGCCCTGCCTTTGACTTACAATCACTTTTTTACTTTTTGCCAGCAACTGCTTTACTATACGAACTTTGACACACAGCCCTTAGCGTCCCTTCCAGCCCTTTTCTCCCCTCACCTCTGATCCTCTCTCCACCTAGCTGTTTATAGCCCCAGCATTATTTTCTGCCCCACAACGCTGTATGACCCTCATCGGTTTAGCACTTTATAATATTAATAATAATGTGGAGTGGGGCTATCTGTTGTTCTTAGTGACTGTGGGATGACCCCTGTGTCTATGCCCCCTCTCCATAGAATGCTAAAGGCACATGATAGGGGCTTCTTGCTATTCTTGATGAACATGGAGTTCCATGAGTCTGGGCCTGGGGCAGAGTGCATGTGCATGTCCTTTATTGCCTTTTTGAAGTCTTGTGGTGTTAGGATAATATCAGATTTTTTAATTGACTGCATTTTGAGTCTCGGCCATTAAAATTCATTTAGATTGTTGATTGTAATAATAATATAAAATGTTTCCTGTCTTCAGATTGTGATAGCATCGCATCTCCAGAGAAAGCTGACCAGAACACCTCACAGAAGACATGTTTCCCTGTGATGAATGTGGCAAAGCCTTTTCCCAGAAAGGCCATTTAATGAGACATTTTGCAGTGCACACTGCCATCAAGAAGTTTAAATGTGATGAATGTGGGAAACTGTTTTCACTGAAGTGTAATCTACAGACACACATACTTGTACATAGGGGTATCAAGAAACATGAATGTGTTGAGTGTGGCAAGAAGTTTATACGGAAGTGTGGTCTCAAGATACATTCCCTTGTGCACAATGGCGTCAAAAATTTTGCATGTGAAGAATGTGGGAAGACATTCTCCCAGAAGAGTCACCTTCAGAAACATTCGCTTGTACACAGTGGTGTTAAAACATTCTTGTGTGAGGAATGTGGGAAAATGTTCGCACTCAAATGTCACCTTCAATTGCATTTGAATGTACACAATGGCATTAAAAATTTTGAATGTAATGAGTGTGGAAAACATTTTTCACAGAGCAGTGATCTCCGTCAACACATGCTAATGCACAGTGGTGTCAAGAGGTACAAGTGTGACCTTTGTGGCAAACAGTTTCTTCGTAAGACTCACCTCCAGTCACACATGCGAGTTCACAGCGGCATCAAGGAATTCCAATGTTTGGAATGTGGTAAACACTTTTCACAGAAGAGTAGTCTACGAAGACACTTACTTATACATACTGGCATAAAGAGGCAATAACTGTCTTAGGATACAAAAACTAAACTTCCTCAATTTTTAGGTTTATTCTTCAGGGAAAAAATCCAGTCATGGGTCTTGTTGTCAGGTGACCTAAGAAGTGTCAGAAGCACGACAAGATAGAGCCTGTTCTCTAAATAACAGATATCATTTAACTGTAGTAAACACCCTTTTGGGTTTAATGCTTAGTTATGATCATAATAATTAACCGTAGTAAAGACAGTTGAGTGAGTGACTAGTGAAGGTACCTTGACAGTGAAAATCTCACACATTGACAGTATTACTGCTGCACTCAGTGGCTCCCATTTTCTGTTCATGGTTCAGCACTCTCCAAGTTTATCTGATGTATTTACATTTTCCCCCCGTTGTGATATATTGTAATTGCTTTTTTATGGATTGAGAATGTAAAGCAACCTAACCTTACCTAACCCAACCTAACTTAATGCTGCCTAACCTAATGCTATCTAACTTAATCGAGAAGTTTGCAGCAAATCATATGTGAGAAACCTCCATAGATTTTTATGGAATTAAGAAAATGCTATTATGGTGTGTGTTAGTGTAAGAATGCTTGAAGGTAGGGAAGCCAATACTCCAGTACCAAAATAAACCAAGACATCAACTGCTGGCTTACTGATGCTAGACTGGCGTAGACAAATTAAAAAAAATACCCTATATGATGTGTTATGTTTTACGAGTTGGACTGCTAAGCCAGTGGAAGACCTTGGTCAAGCTATTAAAAACCAATAAAGTTGGTAGAATTACCGACAATATGTAAAGTAAAAGGACACAAGTGCAACTAATGTGACATTTATTGTGGCAACGTTTCGCTCTCCAGGAGCTTTATCAAGCCATTACAAACAATACATGGACACAGAGGGTATATAAAGGCTCAGAGTGAGGTGCAATACTAGTGAGGTAACATTTCGATGTTCACTAGTGGTAGTAGTAGTAGTGGTAGTGACAAAAGTAATACAATATGGTAGAGCAATTAATTCGTACAAGAGTAAAAGGATATAAAAGCTATTACTTGGGTAACATAAAAATAGGTTGGACAAATATAGACTGGAAAGAGGCAGCTTGTTTCAGTGTTCACTCTCTGTAATGTGCTTTGTGTAGTATAACAGGAGAGACTATGTGATGGCAGGGTTTACTGTTTTCAGGAGGATTCTTGCTAAGACTTCGGAGATGGTGAAGCTGCCGTTGTTTTGTTTAATTGTATTCGAAACAGCGATCAGTGCTGATTCGAGGCACTTGCGTCTGCGGAAATTAGTTTCTTTGATCACTAATTGGGCGTCTCTGAATTTCATGAGATGATTGGTGGAATTTCGGTGTTGTACACAGGCGTTGTTCAAGTTATCGTTCCTACATGCGTAAATGTGTTCATTGAGGTGGGTGTCGAGGTTTCTTGCTGTTTCACCTACGTAAATCTTGTCACAGCCTCCACAGGGTATAGTGTAAACTCCTGCATTGACTGGTTCGTGGTGCTTGGGTTTTGTCCTGGTTAGATCCTTTATTGAAGTGCTAGAAGCGATGGCGACTCTGGTGTTAGCTTGTGAAAGTACTTTTGAAACGTTCAGTGCAACCTGGCTGTTGGGAAGAATTATAACTTTGTTGGAAGTGGTGTTGATGCGTGGAGAATTAATGATCTGAAGAGCTATTTTCTTGCAGTCTTTGATGAAAAAAGAAGGAAAATGTAACTCAGTGAATGTTTGGTGAATATATGTACATTCCTCGTCAAGAAACTCAGGATTGCAAATTCGGTATGCTCGCCGGTTCAACTGCATTGAGCCGGCGAGCATACCGCCGGTTCAACTCGCATACTCGCCGGTTCAACTGCGTTGAGCCGGCGAGCATACCGAATTTGCAGTCCTGAGTTTCTTGACAAGGAATGTACATATATTCACCAAACATTCACTGAGTTACATTTTCCTTCTTTTTTCATCAAAGACTGCAAGAAAAGAGCTCTTCAGATCATTAATTCTCCACGCATCAACACCACTCCCAACAAAGTTATAATTCTTCCCAACAGCCAGGTTGCACTGAACGTCTCAAAAGTACTTTCACAAGCTAACACCAGAGTCGCCATCGCTTCTAGCACTTCAATAAAGGATCTAACCAGGACACAATCCAAGCACCACGAACCAGTCAATGCAGGAGTTTACACTATACCCTGTGGAGGCTGTGACTAGATTTACGTAGGTGAAACAGCAAGAAACATCGACACCCGCCTCAATGAACACATTTACACATGTAGGAACGATAACTTGAACAACGCCTGTGTACAACACCGAAATTCCACCAATCATCTCATGAAATTCAGAGACGCCCAATTAGTGATCAAAGAAACTAATTTCCGCAGATGCAAGTGCCTCGAATCAGCACTGATCGCTGTTTCGAATACAATTAAACAAAACAACGGCAGCTTCACCATCTCCGAAGTCTTAGCAAGAATCCTCCTGAAAACAGTAAACCCTGCCATCACATAGTCTCTCCTGTTATACTACACAAAGCACATTACAGAGAGTGAACACTGAAATAACCTGCCTCTTTCCAGTCTATATTTGTCCAACCTATTTTTATGTTACCCAGTAATAGCTTTTATATCCTTTTACTCTTGTACGAATTAATTGCTCTATCATATTGTATTACTTTTGTCACTACCACTACTACTACTACTACCACTAGTGAACATCGAAATGTTACCTCACTAGTATTGCACTTCACTCTGAGCCTTTATATACCCTCTGTGTCCATGTATTGTTTGTAATGGCTTGATAAAGCTCCTGGAGAGCGAAACGTTGCCACAATAAATGTCACATTAGTTGCACTTGTTTCCTTTTACTTAACATATTAAAAACCAGCATCAGAAACACTTGTACTCTTCTAACAAACAAAATACCACCACCATCTATTTAAACACCACAAAATTTTCCTGTTCTGATGGTCTTTAAAAATTTACACCAGATGTCCAGATACTGTAAACATCTATTTAAAGTGCATAAAGAATTTGTGTACATATAAACGTTATTTCAGTGTGAGATGTAACAGGTTCTTAGCGATAAAACAATAATAATAATACAGTGGACCCTCAACCAGCGATATTAATCCGTTCCTGAGAGCTCATCGTTAATCGAAATTATCGTTAGTCGAGTTAATTTTCCCCATGAGAAATAATGGAAATCAAATTAATCCGTGCAAGACACCCAAAAGTATTGAAAAAAAAATTTTTACCACATGAAATATTAATTTTAATACACACAAACTGAAGAAGACATGCACAGTTACATGACACTTACCTTTATTGAAGATCTGGTGATGATTGATGGGATGGGAGGAGGGGAGAGTGTGATGGTGTTAATGTTTAAAAGGGGGAATCCCCTTCCATTGGGGACTTGAGGTGGCAAGTCCTTTTTAGGGCTACTTCCCTTCTTCTTTTAATGCCACTGGACCAGCTTGAGAGTCACTGGACCTCTGTCGCACAACATATCTGTCCATAGAGGCCTGTACCTCCGTTCCTTTTTGACATTCCTAAAGTGTTTCACAGCATAGTCAGTGTCACAATTAAACACTTGTTCAGGTTTCAATTCTTCACTGTCTATGTACTCCTTGAATTCCTGCACATATTTTTCAGCTGCTTTTTGGTCCAAACTGGCAGCCTCACATGCCTTATCACACTATGTATGCCACTACGATTTTTTAAATCTCTCAAACCAACCTTTGCTGGTCTTAAATTCACTCACACAACTAGTTGCTGGCATTTTTCAAATTTTAAATCCTCATGCAACTTCTAACCTTTTCCACATATATCGTTTGAGAGATGCTATTCTCCTGCTATCTGTTTTTCGTTTATCCACACCAGTAACAGTCTCAACATTATCTATCACTTGTGATCTCAGTTTTGAAAACATAGTTGCACCTTTGGCAAGAACAGCATCCTTGATTGCCGTTTCTTAACCACAATATTAGCGATGGTTGATTGGGGTTTTGTGTACAACCTGGCCAGCTCGGAGAAAACCATTTCCACTTTCATACTTAGCAATGATCTCTTCTTCATATCCATAGTAATTCTCACCCTTTTTGCTGTAGGGTTGGCACTAGAAGCTTTCTTGGGGCCCATGGTCACTTAAATATTTTGCAGGTGCAATCACTACAAAGGCTGTGATAATATGAAATGTTCCGATTGTATGCTTGGAAGCGACCGCGGTGGCTGGCTGGCTTGTAAACACTGGCCAAAAGTGGACACATCTCAGACGGAATGAATAGTGTTGGTCGAGTTTTTTAGCGCTAGTCGAGGCAAAATTTTTGCGTTGAAATGTATCGCTGGTCGGATTTATCGTTAATTGATGCCATCGTTGGTCGAGGGTCCACTGTAATTCACTGATAATGATAAGGATTAAAGCAGCAAATATACTTTGATGTGATAGGTTAACAGACCTTAAGTTTAATTGCTTGCAGTCATATTACAATTTCATGAGTCATGATGGCAACATGAGCTAGAGTTCATCACAACCACAATGGCAGGAGATTCATCTGTAAAATCTTGCATTTGTGGCCACAGTGGTGGCCCATGCTAACCTCCCTATGGTGTATAGAACTCTACAGTAAGTTCTCAACTTACAAGCATGTTGGGAATCTTACGTATTGTGTATAATACCATTATTATACACAATTCAGGAGGTCCCCGATGTGTTTGTAAATCGATGAATTACTGTACGTAGTTGGATGAATCTTATTAGAGCCAGCTGGCCCAGTGGTTAATTCACTGACCTGTGAGTTTTAGGACTCACTCGCCAGGGGATCAAACCCCACTCATACGGTGGCCCGGTGGCCCGGTAGCTAAAGCTCCAGCTTCACACACGGAGGGCCCGGGTTCGATTCCCGGCGGGTGGAAACATTTCGACACGTTTCCTTACACCTGTTGTCCTGTTCACCTAGCAGCAAATAGGTACCTGGGTGTTAGTCGACTGGTGTGGGTCGCATCATGGGGGACAAGATTAAGGACCCCAATGGAAATAAGTTAGACAGTCCTCGATGACGCACTGACTTTCTTGGGTTATCCTGGGTGGCTAACCCTCTGGGGTTAAAAATCCGAACGAAATCTTCTTCTTCTTCTTCTTCATTCCCTGATATCCTGGACAGGCTGGAACCATTCTGGTAGTTGTACGCAATAAGTTAAAGAGTTCCTGGGTATCACTTCTCGATGGTTGAATCCCTTCAGATAAGCAAGATGTAAAAATATGTATGTCCTGAATTTGATTACTTGTTGGTTAAAACATTTCAGTAAATTGTATGTGATGAGTTAGAGACAAAGTTTCACTATTCAGTAAGTTGGGACCCTCCAGATAAACTGCATGTGACGAGTTAAACATGCAAGGTTTCATTCATGGATAGGTTGGAATCCTTCATGTAAATTATGTGACAAGTTTCAGGTTCTGGGTTTCATTCTTTGATAAGTTGGAACCCTCCAGGTCAACTGAGTGACAAGTTACAGGGTTCCATTCGTGGCTTCCTTAGGAACCTTCAGATAAAATTTCTTCACTATTCGTATCTTGAATAATAACAATAATATAATCTTTATTTCTACAAGTGCATGTACAAGGTATACAGACCATAGCTGACATCAGTGACATACTACTATATAGAAAGCTACTTGTTATGCTGAGCATTTCAGGCAAATTAGGTCAGTTTTGTCCCAGGATGCAACCCACACCAGCTGACTAACACCCAGGTACCCATTTTACTGATAGGTGAACACGGACAGCAGGTGTCTTATGGAAAACATCCTAATATTTTCCATCTGTACTGGGGATCAACCCCCAGATCTCAGTGTGTGAGCTGAGTGCACTAGCGATTGAGCTACTGGACACAC